AATGGTCCTCTCATGGAACCCAAACCCAAACTATTACCATATCGGTACGTGGTATCCGATCCAATATTTATGCCGGAACGTGGCAACCAATCCCATATTTATGTCAGAACGTGGCAACCGATCCAAGTTAGTGTGTCGGAATGCAACACCCGATCCATTCAACAAGCCAAAATCACAATTAAGTACATTCTCATAATCATACAATCAAGTCATGATTCATGGCATTCATCATTCATCTATCCTCATTTACAATTAATGTGATCAATAATGCAACATTCGCATACATACATGTATCATAATGAAGCAAGAACACACATACATCACACAATCATAAAATCACAACCAGCACCTACCTCGAACAAAGCTTGAATCCCCTAAGAAACTTGATTCTTCCCTTTATGGATTCATTCCGCTTGTTCTTGGTCTACAAACAATCAAATAACATGAAAATCAATAAACAATCACTAATTACTCGGATTACTAACAATCCTATCAACCCTAGATCAAACCCATGATCCCAATATCCAAATTAGGGCATTTTCCACCATAATTCTCAGATCAAAACTCTTCCTCATCGATAATTACCCATTAGATTACGTTCTACGGATCGAAAAATGGATTCGGTGAGTGAAAATCTTACCTTTAGCCTCAAGAATAGTGGAAAACTGTCAAGAAAGGCCCTAGGTTCGTTCCTTAGCTCTCAAGTTCGAAAATTGCAGAATAAGATGTTTTGGAGTTTATTTCCGACTTTAAGTCGTGTCTGCCCCGCCACAGCAGTACCACCCCGCTGCAGCGGCCCCGCCTTGAAGACACAAATTCCCGTTGTAGTGGCTTGCACGGAACAGTGAGCTAATTTAATAATTCCAATACCCCAATTTCACAATACACCTTCAACCAACGACACTCAGAAACTACCCATTTCACGCCAAGATCAGTTTTGGGAGTTCTACTCACCCGAATTCAATTTCGTAAAGTCGTATGGGTTCCTTAACGACTTATCTATCTACTCATGTGATCGAATTCATAATTAGATCACCCAATTGCTACCAGATTTCCCTAGACTTCACAGACTCCGATTTCGTCTAAATCTGGACTAGGTTGGGAAATCTCAAGTTACTACAAAAAAGTTTTTCGGCCCAAAATTTTTCCCCGTTGGCTTTTCTATAACGACGGAACCCGATCGTTACATTTTTCAACGACTATTTAAATTTATTATTTTGATATTCAAATTTATTTATTTTCAATAATTTTCTTGTAAAATTTTATATAGATGTCCCAAATATAAGGTACAATAATAATTACAATATTGCCATAAAAGAAATATGTTTAAAAAAAATCTTTATTTTTCTTTTTTCATTCAAACTTTTTTTTATATTTCTATTATATTTACAATAAAGAATGAAAGAAAAAAATTAAATAAGAATAAGAAACTCAAATAATGATAATCAAATAGGTAAAAAAATAATGCATGCGTGAAAAATATCAAATATACCCATAAACTTTGCTAGAAGAATCATATATACCTCTACATGAATTTTCTTAAAATAAAAAATAAAAAAATAAATTTAAAATGATATTTTTTTCTATCATTAGATGAAAATGTTATCTTTGAGCCACTTTTGTAACAATATGGTATATGTGAGCCAGTTTTATAATGGTAAGAATATATGTGAGACACTTTTATAACGAGGTGGGGACGTAGAATGTTTAGTAATTTCTCTAATCTTTTCGGTTTTTCTAACGCACAAAATCTCTTTCAAGAGATACACTTCTTTTTCTTTTCTGATACAAGTGATTATTATACTATTTACAAAGTTACCCCATTAAATTTTAGGAAGAGAAGTTTTAGCTTTCCTCATTTTATTTTGGAAAAAAAGCCTAATATACCCTTCGACTTTATCATATAGAACTGATATACCTTTTCATTTGCAAGATTAAAAAGGTTGGAGAAATTATTAAACATTCCCTCAGATTTTATGTATTTGAAAAACTAAAAAGGTTGGAGCCAATAAGTAGTCTAATAATCTGATACTCGAGAGTTGCCATTGGGGTGAGGTTGAAGAATGCCATATCATAGCACCAATTAGCAATGCCCAGATATGTTGAGCTCCAAGGATTGTAAAACGAAAGGGAAAGCAGTGCACCTTATGTTCAAGCTTAATTAAATAGTTCATAAAGACTATATTTTATCAACATTTCTAAAGTTCAACCTAATAATTAGTTCATAAATTCTATAAATCAAGATTCCTAAAGTTCACAATCAAAAGTTTAAAATCCTACAATAATTCAAGATTTCTAAAGTTCACAAC